CTCTCTCTCTCTCTCTCTCTCTCTCTCTCTCTCTCTCTCTCTCTCTCTCTCAATGAAACGCACACTTTAAGACATGGGTTCATAATTAGTGTTTTATTGTAGGTCTATATTTATATATATACATGTATATTCCATCAACAAGTAACATAGAAAGCAAGCTGCTTAACAAAATTACATGGATGGAAATTGCAGCTATTATCACAAAAGTGTTCTATCGAAAGACATAGATCTTGTTAATAACAACAAACAGGTTGTATTTTGACAAAGTCGATGAGATAAAGATGAACAATGCGTGACGTCATAACGTGAAATGTTCTGTCTTCTATTACCCACAGAAACATGAAACGACAATACATGTACATAAAAAATCCTTGGAAAGTGTCATGTATAAAAGTATTAACAGAGATCCCTTTACCAATTGCCATGAACATAATCATTTTGTGTGAGTGAAATGTAAAGAATTTTAAAAAACACAACAATCAGAGAATAACAACAGTAATAGTAACAACAGCAACAATAACAGTTATGGTAGGCCTAAAAATAATCATAATAATAATAACAAAAATAATAATAATTAATTTTAACAATTAAAAACATGAGTATTGACACTCTAGAAATTATTCCAAAATTTTGTTATAAATGTGGCCAAAGTACATTCATGCCTTTTTGTGATCTCGCCGCAGCATCTGGTGTAAGGGGAACGACCCCAAATGTCGCGTATGGCAGTTGTGTATTGGGGTCAAGTTCTCTCGGAACGGTCGGATCATTTAATGTGTTAACACAAAAATAGTTTTGTGTATTTTGAGTTGGATCGAGTCTTGTGGGATAATGTAGGGAACATGTCTAAGGTTTGTGCTCATTTTCTGAGTGTTAACCCTCCACTCTCCATTCATGGTGTTACTTCGACATGTGCACCATATATACTTCGACATGGAAAGCATTAAAAACTATCATTAACACTATCATGATTAACGTACATCTCTGTTGGTATGCCACTCACAAAATCCACAGTCACTTATTCTTCTGATGGACTAGACAACAGAGATGCAGAATTCACTCCTACCTGAATGCATCCCATCTTAAGTGTTTAAGTACATGTTATCATAATTATCACTGACATTAGCAATTGATTTTAGTTTGATGAAATTAAGAAAAAAACTACACAGTATCCATCACCAATAAGATTATACCTGTATCTTTTAAATGAGCAGCTGAAATACAAGAATGTACACATCGATTTACTAGTTTCATTGACAAAGCTACTGTATGTAACATATCTCGATAATATCAACACTAGGGGAGTTTCTTGTCCTGGTCATCAGACACCAATGATCTGGTTTGTCATGTGAAGCAGCAGAATTGAGATCAGCAACCCAATAGAGGCTTGCAAGTCTGAAAAGAGAAGGAGATAACAATCACTGTTTTGGTACAAAAAGTATTCTATTTTGTGATTGTTATGTTGTTTGTTTTTTTTGGTTGGTTCTTTTATATTTTGTACATCTTCATACTAACCCCACTTATATACGACAGTTAATTGAGGAGCATTCCAAGCAAGAGGACCCAGAGATCTATACGGGTGGATCAG